TAGTTTTTAAAGAAAAGAAGCCTCCAAGTTAATCTTCAAGGCTTAGTACAAATATTGATAAATTAACCAGCAGCACTGCCATTACACAAAATATTAATCCAAAATACACATATATCTAGGGATGAAAATGATTGGAAACGATACTATACTTCGAAAACAAAAGCGGTCGATAGATAGTCTAAGGATCATGTGTCCATGTACATGATTTTGTTGATTCTGGCTATATTGATGATAGCTAATTCACTATGATTAACATGCATATTAGTACGTGTTCACAGGTTTTGTAAGGTTCTAGGGATGCAAGAAACCAAAAAGAAAGAAGGATATTAATGCTAGGACAAAGGGAGGATTGAATTGTACTTGTCTCATAAATTTATAGCTGGTCATTGGTGTCGTATCCGGTTCAAGTTGTATATATTTTCACAAGCTTTCCAAGAAGTCCAAAATCAATAATATGGGAGTCTAGAGATATGGCCAAAAAATGAGAAGATGACATACTAAAACGGTGTCACTACACGATCTGATGGTAGTGTTCATTTATTCGGTGCTGTCCTTTGAGCATGTCTCCGCATGATCCAGTGGTACTGTTCAAGTTATATGGTGCTAAATAGTGACCATGTTAAGTACTGAGAATAGGATCATGTGTCTACGTGCATGATTATGTATGATTTTCTCTATCTTGATGATAGCTCAATCACTATTACTTACATGCATATTAACATGTGTTCACACGTTTTGTAAGGTTCTAGGAATATACAAGAAATAAAAAAGGATTGAGTTGGACTTGTGTCGTGAATTTATAGTTGGTCATGAATTTATTGAGCTAACCTCTCAATGTATTCTTCGGAAACAACATCACTATATCAACATATAGCTTTTTGTAATCCCAATTGAATCCACTAGATCCAAGCATATCAATATTTGTCTTGCTTCTTGAATTGATAGAATCTTGTCTTTTGTAACTTCTATGCCACACTCGTCCTAGACATTTTTTTATGGCAGCAGTGTAAGCATGGGGCTTCCATCCGTTTTGACATTCATCACCACACTCCTGTATTTTAGGTGCTTGAATTTTAAGATGATTTCAGAGCAACACTTTTGTATTATGAATTAGTACTACTAAATTGTCAACTTTGTGATTTTTTATTTGTTTTCAACCCATAACATATCAACTTTTTTGTCCTTATCTGACTATAGAAATAATTACAAATTGTTAAATTGTCTTTATGCCAACACATATAAGATTTTATCAGGTTTGTGCATGGCTTTGTCTAACGGGTTTTTTATTCTCGGAACCAAAAATTACACATTGTGTCTACATGTCACACCCAATTTTAAGGATAAAATGGGATGCAAAATCTTATGTGCGCCCAGAGATCAGTCACACACATAAGCCGACAAATTATGAATAGTATCATCACAAGTATTTATTACATCACGAATAATAGAACATAGTCTTCACATATATGTAGCGGAAGTATAAAGTAAAATCTCTCGCGGAAGCTCCATATCATAGGGACGTCAACTAGTTGACCACAAGTCTAGTAATTCTCAGGAAAGTCGTCGTTACCATAGACATCTATTACCCATCCGAGATTTTTATCCAAATAATGAAAATAAACAAGCGTAAGTACGTGTCGTACTCAAAAAGTGTAACATGGGGTTCATGAGGCTCAAAAAGCTTGACACAGGTTTAACAGCATTCAGCTTTTAATTGTCACAATTTTAGCATAAGAGTAGCAACAAGTTGTTTCAATCCCAAAGTAAAACACATGATCAATGTAAATATGAACAATGAATAGCATAAACGGATAATTCTTAGTGATCATCTATTCCATAAATGTTCCAAGGCCGCTCGTGACCGTGAGCACGGCTGATATACTAGTTTTACACTCTGCAGAGGTTGTACACTTTCATTGTGAGTCGTGATACCCATATGCCCGGGTTAATTACTCCCAAAATACTTCTAAGGTGAGTAGGCCGGGTTGACTATGAAGCCTTTCAAAGGTTCGTCTAACAAGTTAGGGCCATTAGATTCACTCGGCAAACAAATGTAGGAACCCCCTGTTGAATGACACAATTCTATCACGGCTATACACATAAGAGTAGAGGCTATCCTATACCCGATTCGGTAAGCCATTCTTACGCCAATAAAGGTAACCACTAACAAGCTAGAAAAAATCCTCATACTGAGCTAAAGCCAGAGCTATGTAACCCTCATAGTTATAATGTAAGTCATGTATGATCACTTACAGATAAGTCCTTAGGGAGAGGAATCTAAAGCATTTAGAAAGTAGCTAAATACTCCATCCCCTGTTTCCAAGTTGCTAAAAAGTCATGTTTTAATGTTTATTGCATATACCATTAGTCAAGTTACAAGATCATGATTTAATTGAGCACTAGCAAAGCTACCCAATGCAAATCCCATCGGAGACAAGGCATAAGTTCAATTCTAGGGAATCTCTATCAAGGTGACACATGCAACATGAATTTAATGTATTAAAGTTGATAGGAAACAAGGATAATCCCATGCTATACTTGCCTTGAACAAAGTGCTCATGCTGATCCTGCTCGTCAAAATAATACTCTTGGTCTCCCATGAATTGCTCACCGTCTATACTCGATAATCACAGCAACATACAAGCATCCAGAAGCAATCATGCATAGCAAACAAAAGCTATAGATTAGAACAATACACCAATCAGTATAAAATTAAGATGAAAAGTTTATAAAATGAACCTACGTCTCACTACAAACACACAGATGCGAAGATCACAAAAATCAGAGCTAAAACGAAGAAGTTATTAATTAAACAAGATTTCCTTTAGTAAAATAATAGATTAAATCTAACCTCAAATTTTAAATGTTGAAAACATACTTAATAGTAATATGAACATGTAGATTATAGAATTATGAACCTAACGCAAGTTGAACAGATCAAATCGGAGTTAAAATGAAGATTTTATGGCCTACAGAAGATAGGTAGTCTTGTAAATAGATGAAACTTGATTTTCGGATTTAAAATAATTGAAATATGATTTTAAACCGAAATAAGGACTGCAGAGCATGAAAATGAAGAAATACAGGGGCTCTTTAACAAAATTGCAGGGACGGTGGGTTGAGATCCAAATAATTATAAGGGCCTTTTTGCAAAACGATAGGCGAAGGGGTATCTTCTAATCTGGGTCCTTGATCTCAGATTGGACGGCTCAAAACAGATCTGGAAGGGATGGGAGATGCCGGTGAGCTCGTCAGCGAGCTCCACGGTGGCGCCATGGCCTGAGACAGGTGGCGCAAGTGATTCATGACCTACGGTCCACGAGAAAGCAAACCGAAGGCACTAGGAGAAAGAGCAGAAGATGGCGAATTCATCTTGGGGGGTCGACGGGGCTTCGATGGCACGAAGGCAAGCTCACCTCGGTTGGGGCGGCTCGGGCTTGCCGCGAGGTTACGGCAGCGGCATGAGCGTGGCAAAAAGCGAAAGAGGGGGCGCGGTTAAGCGGGCAGCTTCATTACCTGGTCTCGAAGCGCGGCAAGTACTCCTCGTCGGCGGAGAAAGCTCGGCGGCGGCGATTTTAGGGCTGTAGCTTTGCTGCTTGGCTCAAGGCGGCGCTAGGGTTGGCATAGGGAAGCGGCGCACCTATTGCTTAGTTTTATAGGGCCTAGGCGTGGCGTGCACACCAAGACCGGGGCGCGGCGGCAAGGCGGACGTGGACTCCAGGCGGTGAAGTCTAGAGCGGACAGGAGCAGAGGAAAGGGAAGACCCTGACAGCTGGGGCCGGGCCGTCAGCGTCACAAAAGGAGGAAAAGAAGCTGACACAGCGCTGCATGCTCTTGGGCTGTGACGGCCGAAGTGGTGGCGTGGCCCTAGGCCATGGGGAGAGGAGAGCAGGCCGCGCGGGCTAAGCGGCACGCGAACGGAGTTGGGCCGACGGAACTGGGCCAACAGGCCGAATAGAGAGGAGGGACGGAAAATCCTTTTTCTTTTTCTAATTTTTCAAACCAATTTTGGAATGCAAATTCAAATCAATTTGAAGTTTGATTTCAAGTCACACAATTTAAAAATAATATGCAGCAGCATGTATGCACATACATGTATGTAGACCTATATTTGATTTTAATTTTAACAAAGTTATTATTTTTCTAAATTTCAATGCTCACAAAATACATAATTAAATCATTTTGTCCTAATTTAAAACCATGCAAATTTTAGGGTGTTACAATTCTACCCCCTTAAAATGAATCTCGTCCTCGAGATTCGGACGATGCTTACTCACTACAACAGCACAGGGATACAGTAACACCAACTTGTGTTACTGTAGGTTGAAAAAAGTGTTACTAGCTCTCTTAGTAACACATTTTTTTGTGTGTTCCAATTGGCCATGTTACTATAGACTGGTTTATTGTAACACATCTACTTGTCTATAGGAATATTTGTCTAGTGTTACAATGATTTTTGTTGTAACACTTTTTTTTCTATAGTAACATTTCACATTATGATGTAATACATAGTTTGTAACACATTTATTTATCTATGGGAACATTTGCCTAGTGTTATAGTGATTATCTGCTGTAACACTTTTTTTAGTTCTAGTAACACTTCTACATTATGGTAGAGCCCAGTATGGAACAAAGGAACACATGATTTGTAACACTTGTTTATATCTATCGTAACATATTCAGATTAGGAAACAAATATTTGTTTCGCCTATATATGTGGCACACGGATTATTATATAATCACACAAACATGGCACATTGTAAAATCACATAAACCACAAATTTTAATAATCATAACAAGATCCACATATAGTAGGATGATTTCAAACATAGTGCTTGTTCAGATTAAATCATAGTATTTGTACATAACGATATGGCTCTAGAGAGCAAACACACATAGTCCATACTAGAAAGAAAAAGTCAAGAACTAGCTAGGATTTATAAAGTTCATTGCTTCTTCTTCCATTATTCTTTGTACACATCGATGTAGGAATTCAACCATTAATCATTTGAACCTGCAAAGAAAATGTAAGTTTTAAGATTACAAATTAGGCCACATATGTACAATGATGTAAGTTAAGAAAGCTAGTTTGAACATACAAACATCGAAGGCCAAGCAATTGAGACTCCTTTGCCTTGAGCATCACCAATATTGTTGCACCTAGGCCTAGGCCTCACTAATGGCTCATCTTTTGCTATAGCATGATCGATACGCACTTTGTAGAATTGACTACCTGTCTTAACTCCACCAACAATGGCTTCTGGATCAGTGCTCAAGAGAGTTGCATAGGCCACATTAGCCTTATTAGGATATTTTGAAGTCATTAGTAGCATCATGGACCCAACCTACATTAATTTGACATAATCTCTTAGTGACCAACAACCCTAAGTTGTACATCAAGATCATGCAATTAGAACAAGTGTATTATGTTCATCTACCTTCATTACAGGAAGTTGTTTAGGTGCTTGACGCTTGTTGCATGTAACCTTGTCATGAGCCACCTCCTGGTGTGCAATGGTCGTAGTCTCTCCAGGCCCTCCATGATGACCCTTACACATATAAAATAAAGTATGAAATATTAAGACAAAAATTCCTCTATAAATACTGCAAAGTGTGGTTCATAGATACTTTTTGTTTCTTTGTTGTTTTACTTGTGGTGATTAAAAGTAGACTGTCATCATCACTATATTCAGACTCACATGTTTCTTTATTCTAGTAAAGAGAAAAAAGACAGTAGCATGAGTTAATATAAAAAAATCCTTTGTGAATAAAATAGTATTAAATTCACAAGAAAGTGACTTTACCAATTCATCCATGTGTTCAAGGAATCCATCATTCTGGTTGGGTGCAACATAGTGAACTCTCTAAAAATTTGAAACAATATTAAAGCCAAAAGACTAAATTAGGTGAAAACATGGAAAATAGAGCAAATACCTTTCTTTTAGAAAGCACCGCTTGATTTTGAGAATTGTTATGATCACTCCTAGCACAATTTCCCTGGAAAAGAAATAAAGTTTGAGTAACACATTTCAATAAGAAGTTATAAATTAAAATGTACATTGTTACCATTGTTGCTTCTTGGTTCTCATGGTGCCTTTAATTGTTTTTTAGTTCTTCAATAACTTTGTCTTGCATTCTAGAATGTTCTTTGAGTTGCCTTATTTCCTCCAACATGTGAGTCTCTACATCAGATGATGAGCCATTTAGTGAAACTATATTAATGTCCTTAAAATGGTGTGTTCTTTGACCATTAACTTGTTTAGGAACTGAAAGCAATCCCATGTCGTGCACTTGTCCAGCTTTCTCTTCTCCCAACACCCGATGTAATGCACCACCTTCCCATGCAACTCCTCCCTCACTATTTTGTGCTAACTCTGGTTGTGTGTCTAGGAGATTTTCCAGTTCAACCTACAAGCAAGAAATCCGCACATTAGAAAACAGAAATAATTTTATATTTGCAAAAATTCTCATGTGCATGTAGCATACCACTGGTTCATTTATCCCTTTTCCCCTTTTCCTATGAGTTGCGAGGTAAACCTTTGCTCTATGTGGCTGTTTTTTTTCAGGATCAGTTTGCCTCTGAAAAAATAGCAGTAAAGGAAAAGTAAGAAGAATCATATATATTTTTTTTAAACAGAAGATGACTCACCATGTCCTCAGACCAACGAGCATAACTCTTTGTACCGGCTGTGTGTGTTGTCTTCTTCATTTGACAACTTATTTTGTTCTTCTCACTTAGGGTCTACAAGAAAAGTAAATTAATAGATAATGAACCATTGTACATATAAAAATCAATAATGGTATAGATAGCGATAGTAAAAAAAGTCAAATAGCATCAATAATGGTGCCTTACTTGTCCTTCGCTGGACTTCCAATATTTTACTAGGGCCTTCCATTGATCTTCATCGATATCATCTGGACAACGCTTGTTCAAAATAGACTTTTTCTTCTTTGGATTAAATAGTGACTTTTTTTAATGTTGCCTTGTATTTTCTCCAATCTCTTCCAATTGATTTCAATATCTATTTCTCACATTAATGAGGATATAAGAACTTTGTCTAAAATAAGAAAGTCACTAATGAATGAATTTGACTTCGTGACATGATAACAAGCATATATATACTTAATCTTATAAAAACATTATGTCTTGTAAAATTTAGCTAACCTGGATGAATTGAATTATGGTTTTTGCATTGTTTTTCTTAACTTCTCTCCAATCTTTGGCACCAACAGGACAGTAACCACCATTTCTTGCTATGGTGCCCAAAAATTGTCCTAAAAGGCCACCTTCTTTTCCAATGGGTTGTCCAAGCATATTACATCTTACTACTATCCGATCTCCTCCAAGTAGATCCCAAACATGTGTTAAAACGGTCCCCTTTTGTTTACCAGGTACTTTATCGCCATCACCTATTAAAAACAGAATGATAGTGATAGTGATAGTAATTGGTTAAGATGCGGTCCATATGAATGAGATTGATCTAACTACATTTGTACCTGATGTGTTCTGGTTCTCATCATCATGCTGCTCAACCTCGTTAGCATATAGTGCTTCAGTATGCATTACATTTAATCCTTTCTTTTTCTTTGTACCTCCTCTTCCTGCTAAACAAATGTTGGGGACATGAACACGTGTTTATAGTAAATATAATAAACAATATGTAATCTTTTTATTAAACAACTAGATATTTGTATTAGACTATCAAGATTGTATTTATTAAGTCACATACCAAGGTGGGGTTGGATATGCTATCTTGGATGAAAATAAATCATTGATAACTAACATGACTTGGAATGGTTGTCCTTGAATAATCAAATATACATAGAAAAGTAAATTATATGTTCATTCTAATACCTTTATTTTTTTTTTGGTTTAGATTTGGATGGTTCTTTGTTGGACTTGGTAGGCGCTAAAGTGGCCAGTCTCTGCCTCGTCACAAACAAATTAACCGTCTTTTCGCTCTCACACTCGTTGAGCATTTTCATCACATCAGAATCTTGTTGTATTACAACCAAGCTATCTTTTCTCTTGTAGTATAGATAGTCGACTGATGTGTACCCAGAACCCTCGATCAGATCAATCAAGTCGAAAAAGCACATCTCATCTCTATCCATTTCCCTTTGCACATGTTTATGTCCTTCAGCTTTCCCATCGCATTCCAAATTTATGGTCCAATTATCCACCGCCATGGTAGCACAATCTAAATAAAATATAGCACCAATAGGAAAATAAGAACAAAGCATAGGATAATTCACAAATAAGAATCAAGTATAACCGAATAGTAACAATTTGACAAAAGTGCATATTTGTAATGTTATTTGAACTTGGAGCTTGAGAACAAGTAAAGTGCTATGGTTCAGATAGGATGGTCTAGAGCATGACACATATATACGAACAAAAATAGTCCAAAAGGTTCTTTACATTAAATAAGATATAAAATTAACATGTATGATAATTTATTTTTCCTAACATTTAGGAGGGAAAAATCATTGTTATTGTTTTGCTTGATTGAAAATTAACTTTATATATAGTAGTGTCCAGTTAGCTTGAATTAAATAAACGGGCTAACATACCATGACACTAGTGAAACAATCAAGCACTAAGTCGTATACACAGACTGAGTAGAACTGAAACAGAGGTCATAAATAAAATGTGAAAAGTCTGCCCTTTGTTTTGTCCCATTTCAACCATGCACAAAAAGCTAACCTAAGAAGCTAGCAAGTATTGAATAAATAATTACTAAAAGCATGAAAGCAGAAATTATTAAAAGATGGATCCACTGCATCATGATAGGACATTTCACAAAAGCATACTAAAGTGCTGCTCGGAGTATTCTGTAACATGAATGACAAAATGCTAGCACTTTGCCCTTGCCTGTGCAAGCAAATGAAAGCTGCAACTCCATGAGCAGATAAGCTACCGATGCACTGCTACCAGCTTACCTAATTGTCGAAGTGCAGCAGCTGCGCTCCTCCAGCGACCTGAAATTACAATGTTTTTAATCCTCTTTCTCCTCTGCTGAATTCTAAATCCCCCTCCACAAAAGTGTTTCCATGAGAAAAAAAATGTAAATAAATCACCTAGACAGCGATATGCAGCAGCACTATACAACTGAGATGAGCTGTCCGTGTCCTGCTCCTTGAAATGTTGGAGTGGCCGCTGCTAGGATGGAGCACATCTGTAGGGAACTAAGATCAGATGGAAATAGTATGGCGAGCAATGAAAGCAAGAGCAGGCAAACTATTTCATCTTCTGGAGAAGACGTTTTCAGAAATGGCACAGTATGCAACTGAAGCAGAGCTGCTTCAAGCCTCATCAAACAAACCAAAAGACCGATGGAAAAGAAATCCAAACCACGGCACCACCATCTCATATGTCGTGGGTGTTCTACTCTAACCATTAACACTAACAAAGATTGAGAATTCATCTGCAGTTTCTGGGAACCGTAGAAAAGGGGAAACCTTCACCAAAATCTAAAATTGAAGGTTGCTGTTAGGGGATCAAATTGATTGATGACAAAGATATATTCTCACATATCCTACCATCAGAACGCCTAGATTCGCCCTAAATCGCACACAAAAAGGAAGAACGAAAATTCCACAAAAAATAGCTCTGAAATTTGGAGATTCTTGTTGACAGATCTACCGGTAGAAAACCCACATTTGACAGGATGGCAGGATTCGCAGGAACTCAAAGTCGCATGCAGAAAAGGAGAGGGTGGAAAGAGCTCGGCGTTACCTGCAAGAACTTGATCTCGTGGAACGTGGTACGAATGGTGTGCAGGCTCCTGCCCTTGGTCACGGCAAGCACAACGCTGTGTGAGGGGAGAGGAGATTTGAGTCCTGACGGAGGGAGAGAAGAACCGGAGGAGAGGCAATGCGGATCGTGGGAATGAGAGAAGCGGGAGGGAAGACAATTTTGGGGTCGGCAAGACCGGTGGAGGTTACCCGAGTTCCAAGCGCCGAGCTGAGGGCAGATGAGGAAGCAGCTCCCGCGGCCCGAGATGAGCGCGACGTGCGGCGGCGGCGGGCGGGAGAGAAGAACAGACGCGCGCTCAGCGTTGAAAATTGGATCTCTCGTTCTATTCGCGGTGATGCGAAGACGCTTTTTGTTTTTTATCTAAAAAAAAGAATTTCCTTGATTTTTTCCCGCGTTCAGTTTCTTTCCGTTTTTTTTTTTTTTGCCTTTTCATACGTCAATGGTCTGCGTGGTCTGCCCCTGCTATAATTTTTTCGTTTTTTCTTTTGTGGAGTGTATCTCTCCGTTCCATGACTTTTTATTTATTTTTTCTTGTTTGGAGTATCCCGTTTTTCTCTATAAACATAAAAATAAATAATAAATATAGTATTATGGCCTTTGAAACTTTGATCCTTCCTTAAGAAATAAATCGTGGTTATCAAAATAAATAAATAAATCGTGAACTGAAATATTCATTATTAATAATAATTGTCTTTATGTACATGTGTTAAATACTTATGTCATAATTCCTATTTGTATAATGACAATGCTCTAGTAAAACCAAAAAAATATTCTATTTCAATTTCATGCTATCCGGATTTGAAGTGAGTATTTGGGACACAAAACAAATTCAAACGAAAAATCAACTACAAAGTTTTAAAACTTTTCAAGATCTACAACTTTGGTTTTGGTCATTTCTCCATCCGAGGCCGTTTATAAATTTTGAATTTCAAATATGAGGAAATTTGGCCATAATTTTCCTTGGATAAGTAATTTCAAATGAAAAAGTTGTCAACTACAAAGTTGCATAAGTTTTCAAGATCTACGACTTTAGTTTTGGTGGTTTCTTCATACGAGATCATTTGAAAAATTCAAATTAGAACATCTGCAGACCACGCAGAACTTGATGGAGTTCTGCCTTTCAATTAGATACACTCCACAAAAATTCTTATTAGATACATCCAAGAAATGGGGCAGACCACCAGTAGGTTCAGATAGAATTGAAGAACATTTGCAGTACCATTGTCAATTGTGATCAAATTTATACTTGTCGGATTTTAGAGTTTAGGTTATGTAATGTAATTTATGTTTAAGTAGACTTTTTTTTCAAATACGCAGGAGATCTTCGAGAGAAAAGGATCGCCCCTTACAAATGGCATCACCTCACTCTGGGTTGGGCTGTGAAGGATTGTTTTGTTTACATCGAAGAATTTAAACTATAAAAAAACTAAGATAAGGGTGAGACCTGACCACAAAACTCCAACCAACTAAGCTATAGCAAGCTAACCCATTGTGACCCAAACCCACACATGCCCGTTGTGCACCAAAGATGATGTCCATCTCTGAATTCATTGAGCAGCCTGATGATGTAGGGGCAAGTCCCTTAAAAACGGATATACACAAATAAAAGCATAGTTGGAGAGCCTCACCGTGGACATCGATTGTGGGCCCTATATACACCAATGAAAATATGTCCCTATATACATGAATAAAATATGTCCAACTACGTATCATAAGATTTTTTAGAGTTAATACCAAAGGAGTCCATAACTCCATACGCTCTAAAGTCACGAGTGAGTGTGCAGTGGTAGAAAAGAATCTCGGATGGAGAAACAACTAAAATAAAAGTTGTAGATCTTAAAACGTTATGCAACTTTCTAGTTCGTAACTTTTTTATTTAACGTTGTTTTGATGATGAAATATTTGTTTCACGAGATGTCAAAGAAGTTAATACCAAAGGAATCCATGTACTCTATAGTCATAAGTGAGTGTATAGTTATAGTTAAGGATCTCATATGGAGAAACGACTAAAACAAAAGTTATAGATATCAAAAAGTTATGCAATATTGTAGTTGACAACTTTTTCGTTTGAAATCGTCTATCTAACGAAAATTATATTTGAATTTTCACATTTGAAATTCGAATTTTTCAAATGATCTCATATGAAGAAACCACCAAAACTAAAGTCGTAGATCTTGAAAACTTATGCAACTTTGTAGTTGACAACTTTTTCATTTGAAATTACTTATCCAAGGAAAATTATGGCCAAATTTCCTCATATTTGAAATTCAAAATTTATAAACGGCCTCGGATGGAGAAATGACCAAAACCAAAGTTGTAGATCTTGAAAAGTTTTAAAACTTTGTAGTTGATTTTTCGTTTGAATTTGTTTTGTGTCCCAAATACTCACTTCAAATCCGGATAGCATGAAATTGAAATAGAATATTTTTTTGGTTTTACTAGAGCATTGTCATTATACAAATAGGAATTATGACATAAGTATTTAACACATGTACATAAAGACAATTATTATTAATAATGAATATTTCAGTTCACGATTTATTTATTTATTTTGATAACCACGATTTATTTGTTAAGGAAGGATCAAAGTTTCAAAGGCCATAATACTATATTTATTATTTATTTTTATGTTTATAGAGAAAAACGGGATACTCCAAACAAGAAAAAAATAAATAAAAAGTCATGGAACGGAGAGATACACTCCACAAAAGAAAAAACGAAAAAATTATAGCAGGGGCAGACCACGCAGACCATTGACGTATGAAAAGGCAAAAAAAAAAACGGAAAGAAACTGAACGCGGGAAAAAAATCAAGGAAATTCTTTTTTTTAGATAAAAAACAACAAGCGTCTTCGCATCACCGCGAATAGAACGAGAGATCCAATTTTCAACGCTGAGAGCGCGTCTGTTCTTCTCTCCCGCCCGCCGCCGCCGCACGTCGCGCTCATCTCGGGCCGCGGGAGCTGCTTCCTCATCTGCCCTCGCCTCGGCGCTTGGAACTCGGGTAACCTCCACCGGTCTTGCCGACCCCAAAATTGTCTTCCCTCCCGCTTCTCTCATTCCCACGATCCGCATTGCCTCTCCTCCGGTTCTTCTCTCCCTCCGTCAGGACTCAAATCTCCTCTCCCCTCACACAGCGTTGTGCTTGCCGTGACCAAGGGCAGGAGCCTGCACACCATTCGTACCACGTTCCACGAGATCAAGTTCTTGCAGGTAACGCCGAGCTCTTTCCACCCTCTCCTTTTCTGCATGCGACTTTGAGTTCCTGCGAATCCTGCCATCCTGTCAAATGTGGGTTTTCTACCGGTAGATCTGTCAACAAGAATCTCCAAATTTCAGAGCTAATTTTTGTGGAATTTTCGTTCTTCCTTTTTGTGTGCGATTTAGGGCGAATCTAGGCGTTCTGATGGTATGATATGTGAGAAGATATCTTTGTCATCAATCAATTTGATCCCCTAACAGCAACCTTCAATTTTAGATTTTGGTGAAGGTTTCCCCTTTTCTACGGTTCCCAGAAACTGCAGATGAATTCTCAATCTTTGTTAGTGTTAATGGTTAGAGTAGAACACCCACGACATATGAGATGGTGGTGCCGTGGTTTGGATTTCTTTTCCATCGGTCTTTTGGTTTGTTTGATGAGGCTTGAAGCAGCTCTGCTTCAGTTGCATACTGTGCCATTTCTGAAAACGTCTTCTCCAGAAGATGAAATAGTTTGCCTGCTCTTTCTTTCATTGCTCGCCATGCTATTTCCATCTGATCTTAGTTCCCTACAGATGTGCTCCATCCTAGCAGCGGCCACTCCAACATTCCAAGGAGCAGGACACGGACAGCTCATCTCAGTTGTATAGTGCTGCTGCATATCGCTGTCTGGGCAAATCGCTGTCTAGGTGATTTATTTACATTTTTTTTCTCATGGAAACACTTTTGTGGAGGGGGATTTAGAATTCAGCAGAGGAGAAAGAGGATTAAAAACATTGTAATTTCAGGTCGCTGGAGGAGCTGAGCTGCTGCACTTCGACAATTAGGTAAGCTGGTAGCAGTGCATCGGTAGCTTATCTGCTCATGGAGTTGCAGCTTTCATTTGCTCGCACAGGCAAGGGCAAAGTGCTAGCATTTTGTCATTCATGTTACAGAATACTCCGAGTAGCAGTTTAGTATGCTTTTGTGAAATGTCCTATCATGATGCAGTGGATCCATCTTTTAATAATTTCTGCTTTCATGCTTTTAGTAATTATTTATTCAATACTTGCTAGCTTCTTAGGTTAGCTTTTTGTGCATGGTTGAAATGGGACAAAACAAAGGGCAGACTTTTCACATTTTATTTATGACCTCTGTTTCAGTTCTACTCAGTCTATGTATACGACTTAGTGCTTGATTGTTTCACTAGTGTCATGGTATGTCAGCCCGTTTATTTAATTCAAGCTAACTGGACACTACTATATATAAAGTTAATTTTCAATCAAGCAAAACAATAACAATGATTTTTCCCTCCTAAATGTTAGGAAAAATAAATCATGTACGCCTATAGCCCTATACCTGTACTGCTGCTGGTGGTGGTCTGCTGTGGCCTGTGTGCCTGATGGCTGATGCCTTTGTATATCTATGAACTATTGCATAATGCATTATTGCCTTTGGTCTATTGCACTCTTGTGATAATGCTGATATGTTCCATTGATAAGTGATAACCTGCTGTGATCTTGTAATTCCTGGGAAAAGCTTTTGCTTATGAACTAATTTGTCTCTGGCCTTGCTGTGACTGATATTGTACCTGTGAACTTAGAACTAGACATCATTTCTTAATTTTTATGTACATGTACAGTTATAAGAAATTGAGAACTAGGCACTTGATGTAGTATTTCATTTTTACGGGCATCAATATGTATTAATTGCTAGGATGTCACCGCTACCGCCTTTGCTTGCTGCTCCATGTTTGCCGTTTGGCTTACTCTGTTCCACCATCATTGCATTTCTCTTCTCATCAACTAATTTTGGGCATGTTGTGCACCGGTACCTGCAGGAGAGGCACCCATTAGTCAGTTAAGCAACTGTAGTTGTCCTACAAGTGAGCATTACTAGAGTCCATCTATTAATCAGATAATCAGTAATCGCCACCAGTCATTAGTGCAGCCTTGCTTGCCATGTTTGAAAAGACTAATATTTTATTACAAGACAAACTGTTTGAGTCCACTTTATATAATTCATAGCTTTTTATGTATTTCCAACATTTTGTCTCAGCTATTGAAGTACCACATAACTGATGCAGTGATAGTATCTCTTGATTTCAGTGAATTAATGGACTTAAGTGCTATTAAGAGGTTGTTGCAATCCAGAAGACCAAGTGATGAGTACATAGCTGGGGTATAGGGCTTTCTTAAGTTTGCCTACAGTGGGAAAAAGTCCGATGCAAAGATTCAATGCCCCTGTGTCAAATGTGTCAATAGGCAGTTACAAATGCAAGAAACAGTGTATGAGCACTTAGTGTGTGATGGAATGCTGCGTGGATACACTATATGGGGCTGTCATGGGGAAACAACATCTTATATCTCTGCTAACAAAGATTCAGAGTCACCGCATCCAAGTTTAAACACTAATATGCGCCAAGTACTCCAAGAAGCCTTTGGATATATAGACGATGAACATCACACAAATGGACCTCACGTATCAGGTTTATCTGAAGATGGACCAGATGCAGAAACACAAGATTTCTTTGATTTGCTTAGGGCTGCTGATGAACCTTTATGGGAAGGATGTGAGCTATCAAAACTTTCTTTCCTAGTCCTATTGTTTCATGTGAAGTCGACCAACAAGTGGAGCAATAAATCAATTAATGATCTACTTCAAATTTTACAGCTAGCTCTCCCAAATGGTTCAAATATGCCTAGAACATTTGTGGAGGCTCGGAAGACCATTGCGAAGCTTGGTCTTAGATATGAGAAGATTCATGTGTGCCCAAATAATTGTCAGCTCTATCGGAAAGACAAGAAATATGATGACTTCTGTTCAAAATGTGGAGCTTCAAGATGGAAAAATAAGGCAGATAAAACATCATTAACAAAAAAGGAAAGAAGAAAGACAACCACAAATAAGGTATTGCGTTACTTTCCAATCAAACCTAGACTTAAAAGGTTTTTCATGAACAAAGAAACAGCTAAGTTAACTAGATGGCATGATGAGGAGCATACAAAGGATGGTGCTTTGCGCCATCCTGCTCATTCAGAGGTTTGGAAAATCACTGATTCCCAGCACCCTCATATTGCATCAGATTCTCGAAACATGGGGTTTGGAATAGCAACAGATGGTTTTAACCCATATGGGAAGTGTAATTCTACCCATAGTTGTTGGCCAGTTGTATTAGTACCATACAACCTTCCACCATGGTTATGCATGAAAGCTTCTTCTCTTATGCTCACTCTAATAATTCCTGGTTACCCTGGAAAGGACTTCCATACATTTATGCAGCCAGTTTATGATGAGCTAAATGAGTTGTTTGACACTGGTATGTCTACATATGATGCATCTCGAGATGAGAGATTTCAACTTTATGCTACAATATTGCATACTGTGAGTGACTACCTTGGGACAGGGATACTGGCACAGTATAGTGTTATGGGACAGTTGGGTTGTGTGTCCTGTGAAGATGAAACAAGTTCAATACGCTTGAAGCATGGCCTCAAGCAATGTTTCATGGGACACCGACGATTTCTACCCACTAGCCATGAGTTTCGTTATGATGCAAATTCATTTGACGGAACCGAAGAGCATCGGTTGAGACCTATTTCTTATTCTGGAGTATCTCTTTTGGAAAGGATAAAATCAATTAAAGACTTTGAGAAGTCCAAAACATGGAAGGGTGTTAGTGGCCTGTTTTGTTTGTCTTACTGGAAGTATAATTTGCTACGGCACAATCTTGACTTTATGTATATAGAGAAGAATGTGTGTGAAAATATATTTGGGACACTTTTAGAAATGGATGCCAAATCAAAGGACAATCTACAGGCAAGGAAAGACTTGCAAGAAATGAACATCAGGTCAGATCTACATCCACAAAAAAAGGCTAATGGTAAGTATTACTTGCCTCCTGCTTTGTATAACATGTCTAAAGAGGAGAAGCAACAATTCTGTAAAGTCCTTCATGACATAAAAGTTCCAGATGGTTATTCTAGTAACATCTCTAGATGTGTAAATGTTGGTCAAGCAAAAATTTCAGGCCTCAAAAGTCATGACTGCCACATACTAATGCAACAACTTATGCCACTTGCTCTGAGAGGTCTTCTCCCAGATGAAGTTACATCTGTCTTATTTGATTTGTGTGGATATTTTAGAGAACTGAATGCAAAAGTTCTCCACATGAATGAACTTGAGAAGTTAGAGGACCGAATCATAATGACGTTATGTCGGATGGAGATGATATTCCCTCCTGGGTTTTTCACTATCATGGTGCATCTAGTTCTTCACTTAGCAACAGAGGCAAAAATAGGTGGTCCTGTATGTTATCGATCAATGTATTTTGTGGAAAGGTACGCTTTTCTTATAAAAAATTAAGAGCCATGTTTGGTACCTTTGCTTTGCATGCTAAATTATAGTTTTTATTAATTTATACTAGTTTGTGTAGGTACCTTGGTGATTTGAAGTCAAACGTGAGAAATAAAGCTCGTCTAGAGGGCTGCATTGCAGAATCAGTTCTGGCAAAAGAGGCTATGCACTTTTGTTCAACATTTCTTGATGGTTTTCAGACATTGTCTAATAGGCTTTCACGGAATGATGATAATGAGGAGTCACTTGGATGCTCTACTAGACATGCATCAACTCTTTTTCCTCGATCTGGGAAACCACTTGGGAAGCCAAGTAGTTATGTCCTGAGAGGTTTGGCTAAAGTACAAGCACATAGATATGTGCTATTCAATTGTTCCGATGTCGATCCATACCTTAGGTAATATCTCAAAATTGTAAACATAAATTTATTTTTTTGCCTCCCATAATTGTACAGATAATGCAGTTAGAGAGGGAAAATGGCATTCATGGTGTTAAAGATGACATTAGATGGCTAGCTCGTGGCCCAGTTGATGCTGCAAAAAGGTACCATGCTTTCAACAGTCGAGGTTTCCGTTTTAGGCCCAAACGGTTGGATAGGGTGACACAAAATAGTGGTGTAGTGCTAACTGCAAAAACATCAAGTTATGCCAGTGCAAGTGATGGCAGGCCAGTTTTATGTGATGTGACTTACTATGGGAGGATAATTGATATTATTGAGCTAAACTACTCTGATAATTTTTCTGTGGTACTTTTCAAATGTGAATGGGTTGATGTTCTTTCTAAAAGAGGAATAAAGAAGGACAGGTATGGCTACACACTTGTTAATTTCTCACACCTGATACATACAGGAGAAAAGATTGTTCATGAACCGTATATTTTTCCTAACCAAGCTGACCAGGTGTTTTATGCTGAAGACAAAGAAAACCCTAGGTGGTCTGTAGTCATGAAGATGAAACCAAGAGATATATATGACACAGGTTGTGATGAATGGGAAGATGATGTAGAAAATGAGCCATTCCATGCCACACACCTTGGAGATATGTTTAATAATGCAAATGTAAGACATCAATGGACTAGAACAGACATTGAGGGAACCACGATGGATGCTAGTGATGCTGCGGATGCTAGTGGCAATGGATTGAATGACCAATCATAGTTCATGAGGTGCAGTACCTGACTCTTTATTGTGCAAGCTCATTTCTTCAATGGTTTGTGTTTCTCCTTTTTCTTTATTGTGTAATTGTACAAGTTCTTCTCATATTTATTGAATTTTTACTATAATAATAATTTATATATGTGAACTTTATTGGGGTGGTCAATGGTATGATTGTAACAATATATGTTATACATGTATGATACGATAACGGAAATGTATAAAGAAACCACAAGTTAATTGTTACTTTGCCATGCTAGTTCTCTACACATTCTTAAGTTGATTTATTACTAAGTTCAATTTTCTTTACGCAGTCCAGCAGCACAAGATAATTGTTTTTGTACTAATCTATAACTCTCTCTTAATGGGGAAAAGAAATGCTACTTTGGTATGTGTACTAAGAACTACTGAGTACCTGCTGTATTTTCTATTGCTATGGCACTCATGCCTGCTTTGTTAGTTCATTAATGGCTGACTTGTGCTTCAAGAGTGTGGCACTGTTTTGCATAAATAGAGCTGGCTGACAACATGATAGATTGCTGCACAAGCACATGGATTAATGCTGCATGTTTTCACTAATTAAATCTTTCTATTGAACTTGTGATCCCAAAAAACATTGGTTTAACGCTGCATATTTTCACTAATTCAGTCTTTGACCCTGAAATTTTATGGGGTTAATTTTTAATGAAGTTCCTGATTCATGGCTTGATGCTCCTACAGGAGGTGAATGAGATGTTGGGTAGGTCTTGGCTACTACCATATGGGTCGATTTCTGTTGGAGGTGAGTTGTGCTCGTAATGGATTGAGGATGAATGACTAGGCGTTCTATTGGAATGTTGATGCTTGCTTAGCAACTTTAGCAGATGTGCTTGTTTACAGTTTTGCAACTAGTCAAATTATTGTGTGCATTTTCTTCTTTTTTTAAATGGTTCTGTTCTTACATCTCTCAGTTGTTGATGGATGACTTATGCAACATGATACTCGTAACATGAGCTAAGATATAATTGAAAAATGTGAACTACCATATTTCTGACACAAGAGTTATAGACTCTCTAGAGTAATTCTCCAGTTCCATTGCTACCAAATGTTAAAGGGAGTGTTCACTAAAGCTTCCTGCACCTGCTGTTGTGCAGCTGCTATAGTAACTGCAGAGAGCAAAGTGCAGTCGTGGTTTGCCACTGCTGTTAAGTTTTATCTTGCATTTGCCAATTAGTAACTGCAGAGAACTGCTAGCTTGTTATGCAGGACTTCTGGTGGCAATCAGCATGGGAGTGCAGGAGATCATTGTGGAGACCGACACCATGCTTGTCAGAGATGCTCTCTCAGGCAACAACTACAGGCTGTCCACAGTTGGGGGTCTAGTCACGGAGATGAAATTTTTTATTAGCGCAGAGCTTAGATCAGGTAATCTTAGTGTGTGCAAATGTGACTGTAATAGGGTTGCTCATGCTTTAGCAGCAGCCGGGTGTAAGTTTTCCAGTGGCATTAGTAACACTTGGGATGGTGTACCTCAGGAGTTTGAGTGTGTGGTAACCAGCGATTTGGCCGGAGTCAATGAGTAATAAAATGCTCAGTTCAAAAAAAAGATTATACTCATACTAGGATGCTCGTCATGGTTGTGACTTGATAAATTATCTCATTATGTGTTCGTAACTTGAGTGGTTATGTGCCTGTAAACTTGAATTTATATGTACAGATTTTTATTGGGTTGTTCCCGTTTATTATGACGTGGACTAATAAAAAAATAAAAGCTAAAATCTAGACTAATAAGAACGCACACTACAAGAGCTTAGGCCTTCTATGACTAACTGATTGTGACAATTACATTCTTTTTCTTGTCATTGTACCCTTCTATGACACAGCAATGACGATATGGCTGTGGTCATAGAAGGTGGGTCATAATCCCACTTCTGTGACTAACAGACCCAATTATCATTATCTTAGTGACAATTGCACGTATTGTCACCAGGTTATGACCACGGCATTTGTCACTATATTTGTCATAATATATTAGACGGGATGATAACAAGTGTCCAGGGATCTGATGTGGCGTGTGACGTGGCACAGGTAGTATGACAAAAATAATTGTCATAAAAATGAATTTGGTCCAGTTGACCCATGGGCTGGTTTTTACAATTATAATTCAACTGAGCCCAACTGGCCCATGTGCTGGCCGGCCATTTTTTGGCCCAATTGTTGTCAGCCTTTTTAGTTTTTTTGCCGTACTAGCCCAGTTTGCATATGATATTACGGCCCAAGCCCATATAATAAACCACGTACAATTTAATAACAATAATAATTAGACATCGAAACATATTATTTAATCCATAATTGATTGTTCATTACAACAGTTATAACCATTCACCAGCCACACAAATGAATTACATCATCAAAATACACAACAGATCACCAACAGATCACCAATAGTTCACCCACAGGTTCACTTGCCCTTCTTGTGGTGCTTGAGCAGCGATGTCCTCCATTTCAGCCTAGCATGGAAAAAAAGCAAGTCAGGATTCTCTCATTCCAATTTTTGTCCATCACGGTACAAAAGATAGGAAGATGTACTCACAATAGCTTTTTGTGCATCCTCACTATAACATGTCTTGTTGATGCAATGTGTGGCCTTGAAGAAGTCAATCGCAGTGAGTGGGTCATCCTTAAATTTAGACTTCTGGACTTGTAAACAATGGTTTAAACATTTGAAAAAGAAAGTTAACAGCAGTTGAAACAATAATTTAACAGCAATGTGTCCTTGCTATCAGTCAGTACTTCACTACTGGTAATAATTAGCTAGTTGAGGCACAATGCATTTATTTATTAGTTCTGCAGATAATTGACAACCATATGTACGATTTTAATTGATACAACTCTGCAGATAATTCGCTAGTAACTTGCACAGACAAAATGACAACTTGCACAGATCAAATTACACTTGCACATATGGCCACAAATATGTTCTTTATAATTTGACAGCCTGATTAATTTGACAACTAAATTTTATTATGTAGTAACTCAGACTTTTGAGCACAACTAACGATCAGAGTGGCCAAGGATACATGCCAGGCTGCTAACTTGAAATTGAAACGGCAAAAATTTCTACCGACCATACACACCCTTGACTGAAGCTGCGTACAACAAGAACTCGACAAGAACGATATAGCAGTAACAGTAGGAAGGAACAAGGAACATGGTAATTTGGGTTAATTTGGGAGATGAAGTGGAGGGAATATACCCATGTCATCCTCAGTGCTGGACAACGACTGCCTGGTAACAGAACCATAGCCGCACATGAGCTTGGACAACAACTACTCCTCCAGATGCTTCTCCATGATCTCCACGCAACTTCTGACAGAGCAGACACGAGAAATCCATCCCCATCAGAACCACGGTTATTTTCATAAGGCAACACTGCCAACATAAACGAATGTGGCAACTGCCGTAGACGCATGAGCGCAGTCAGAAGATACCTCTTGGCGAAGCGGCGCTCCTGCAGCGACAGGCGGCTGAGGAGGTCGTCGGACCTGTAGATATGCATCGAGTACTTCTCGATCAGCAGTAGCCACACCACCAGGTCGTCGACGCCAGTCGCCACTGTCGGCGAAGTGGTCGAGCGTCTCCTCCTGTAAACGACATGTGGAGAGGGAACACCGGTCAGATCCAGAGCCGCAAGTAACCCGAGCGCTCACGGCGAAGAGATCGAGGCAGGAGGAGGTGGAGCGGAGGAACGCGATCGAGAAGACAGATAAGGACAAGCGTACATGGAGCTGGATCTACTCTTGGGCGCGTGACTCGAGGGGCAAGTCAAAGCGGAGGATCTCCGGTGCAGCCTTCTCGTTGCGCCAGGCCCGATTAAGTAGCTCGACGTCCGTGTCCGCCGCCGCCACCGTCGAGTCGTCGTCGCCCGCCTGCTCTCTCTCTCTCCTTGTGGCGGCCGCGCGTCTGGAAGGGAAGGGAGTTAGGGTTTGGGGAGGCCGGCCGTGGAGCTGGTTTTGTTTCGAGTGGCACCAAATTCGGCCGTTGGATTCAGATCAAGGGCTCTGATTATCCACAGCCTTAACAGGCATGCGGGTGTCAGTGGCCCAAAAGCGAAAGTGAGGCCCAAGCCCAGGCTGAGAGTCTGAAAAACCCACGCGGGTTGCTAAGCAGGCCGAAAGGGCCTTTAGGGCCACACAGTTTCTTTTCCTTAGGCTGAATTAAGTCACAAATTAAGTTTTGTTTAATTTTGAAGTGCTTATAATTTTCTGTTTACTTAAGTTCATTTTAAGCCCAATATTTTTTAAGTCGTCTCCAAATTTAAGTTTGTAATTTTTTAGGAATTTAATTTTAGTACCTATAATCTCCCTATTTAGCGCAATTAGGCTCTTTGTTGGGCCATGTTTAATCTCCGATTTAGCATAAAATAAATATAGTAATGACCAAAATTGATCAGAAATCTAAGATTTTGTGTGGGGACATACTTTGGGTATGCATGCTTGCAAAAACAATTTCAAGCCATTTTGACAGAATCGGAATATACATTGTTCACTAAATGGAAACATCTATCACATAGTCATATAACTATGTTTGAAATGTATTCATTTGTGAAGGATGTGCAATACCGCTTTGAGATGTATCCATTTCTGAAGGATGTTGAGTATCGCTTTTTGAAATCACTTGAAATTTTTATGCAATGATTATACACCAAAATTGTGTTGTCATGCAAGTTTTTAGATTTTTCTAACCAAGTTTAAATATTATTACATTTATTCTATGGTAATTCAATGAATAATTGTAATAATAATTGAATTTAGTCAGATAATTCTACAAATTGACACAACAACATAGTTTGGGTCTTTAAGCATTCCATAAAAATTTCAAGCAATTTCAATAAGGTGGGATTATACATCCTTCACAAATACAAACATCTCTCACTAAGTCATATAACTATGTGAGAGATGTATAGGATGTGCAGTACTGCCTTGTTAAAATGATTTAAAATTTTTATGCAATGATTATACATCAAAATTATGTTGTCATGCAAGTTTGTAGATTTTCTTAACCAAGTTTAGATATTATTACATTTGAATTTCAATATATTAGAACTTTAGACATGATTTTAGGACCATAAATAAATTCAAATGAAAAAGTCATCAACTACAAAGTTTTAGACCTGATTGAGGTCTACAACTTTTATTTTGGTCGTTCCTTCATTCGAGCTTGTTTGACTAACTCTTCCGCAGTCGACCGACGGTGTTGACTTGACCGTTGATCGAAACTTGGATGGCTATCCACTGTTCCGAGGCGCGACTGGGGTCCATCAATACCGTTCTTGATTTATAAAAGTATACAAATATAAGAATGGTTAACTAATACAACTGGATGGATACCGAAGTATACAAATATGAATGAACAATGTTACTTAGTCTGGAAGTATACTAAAATAATATTGAAAAATTAAATAACCAAGCTTACTTAGCTCTAGATATTAACAAATATGAATGCTAATATGCACTACGGATTTGGAGAGGCGAGTGCTAGCCGACCTTCAGCAGGTAAATTTAAATATAAAAAGGAAACTGAAGCAACTATAACGCAAATGCCTTCTCCTGGTGTGCAGCCTCCCAGGTTCGAGCCCCCTTCAATGCACAATTTTTTTGTTAATAATTCCTGCTACTGATGGGCTGGGAGGGAGCACGTGCTGGGCTAGGCCGGGAGCGCTTGCTGCGCTGCCGACTTCGGATTTGCGCTGGGCCGAGCGAGGATGCTAGCCTGCTGGGCCGAGCGAGGATGCTGGTGCTGCCGACTTAGCTATTAAATTTCAATGGTCATGGCTGCTTCTCCTAGTACGTGTGCTCATAGGTTCGAAACCTCATTACCCTCAATTATTTTGCCCAAATTTCTGGCCCATACAGAGCGAGCCTGTGTGCGCGAGAGGGAGTCCGGGGTCCTATGTGCGTGCGTGGGTTGGATGGCATGTGTGTGTTTTTAATTTGTTTTCTTTTTTATTTTCTTTTATTTCGTTTCAAATTAAATATATATATATATATATATATATATATATATCAATCTATATCTCTATTAATTTTTATCCCTCCACTACCGTGTCAGCTTATGGGTTCACACCCACGGCTGCATGCTTTATTTTCTTGCTGCAGTGATTAGGCGTAAACAAAATAAAGCGCCACATTTAACAACACGGGGCATGAAATAAAGATAACATGGGCTGAAATATGTTAGGGAAAACAACGAAAATAGAAAAGTATATGGACCCACCTGTGATCACGTGGTTGTGGAACATGCAAACATGGACAACAATGTTTAAACAAATCAAAAATTAATTTGTGATGCACAAACTCCACCATAGATTGATGAAATATGTAAATTAGCCTTTCACTATTTTTTTCTTATCTGCTAGCTGATCTTTAAAAAATCATAACTTTTGTATATAAACTCGAATGAAGATAAAGTTTATATATAAATTGTGTAGAAAAAAGAGATCTACAACTTTGTAGGTTACGACTTTTTCATTTGACATTGTTACGGTATGTAAAAAATGATATAGTGCTCAAATCTATATTTG